TGGGGGGGGGGTTATTTATCAAATCTTTCCGTCTGTGTTGGTGTGGTGTGTCCGTCTTATCATGGGTTGTCCACAAAAGCAGGGTCGAAGTAGTCTGCCTGCCTCCTAATTGATCTAAATTGTGACAGTGAGGTACAAAAAAAACGTGCTACAGTTAGTCGCTTTTAAGCACAAGGGGGGCTATCCCGAAAAATTCTGTTTTGAGAAATTCGAAGTTAAAGTTTTTTCCCTTGTTCAGTTCCTTTAAAAGTCAAGGAGAGTTTTCTCCATAACCAAACAAATATACACACCAATGAAACCAAATTTCTCCTATAAGTAGAGCAATGTCCACTTTTGGTGTAGGTCAAGATTTCTTAAAACCCCCGAAATCTGTGTTAGCACGTTTTATAGGTAAAGGATTATGATTATGATTATTACAATAGTATTAATGATGGTGATCATGATGATGATAATGATGATGATGATGGTGGTGGAGAGGATGATGATGGTGATGATAATGATGATGATGATGATTTTTTTTGTTTCCTTAATGGGCCTGACGGACTTCACGAAAAAATCTGAGAGCGAGAGCGAGGCTCTTTTTCGGCTCCATTGTCAATATGCTTAACGGCACCTCCATTCGTCCAAATCACTCCAAGTGGTACTCAAAGGGGCAAGCTGTCCCCTTCACGATGGGGAGTACCGTTCTCAACGAAGACAGCCACATCCAATGGGGATGATGATGATGTTGATGATGATGATGATGATGATGATGATGATGAGTTTTTATAGCCTGTGTATACTTAGATTCTTGCCAGTTATTTTTGTGAATGTTCCTGAGGAAGCCCGTTGAGGGTGAAACGTTGAACTGTGTGTAATACATATTTCTGGAAATACAACAAGGTCTTAACTGTTTTAATACCTTCTTTATACAATGATGATGATGATGATGATGATGGTGGTGGTGATGGTGGTGATGATGATGATGACAATGACGATGAGGAGGAGGAGGGAGGAGGAGGATTTTTGTTGTTGTTTCCTTAACGGGCCTGGTGGACTCCACGAAGAAATTTCTGAGCGAGAGCGAGGCTCTTCTTTTGGCTCGTTGTCATCATACTCAGAGGAATTTCCATCACTCGTCCGAATAACTCCATTCGAGTTGCCATTGTTCCTGGACATTCAAACAAAATTTGGACATCCTCTTTTTCGTGTTTGCATCCTCGGCAACGTTGGTTGAGCTCTTCATTCGCAAAGTTCTGATATCATCTCATGCACCATGATGATGATGATGATGATCATGATGATGATGATGATGATGATGATGATGATGATGATGATGATGATGATACTAGTCTAGTCATTTATGTTATTTTTTAAAATGTTCCTGACGAAGCCCGTTGTGGGCGAAACGTTGAACGTATTATAAAATATTTTGGAAATTCTACCAAGTCTCATTATTTTTTATTCTCTATGATAATAATGATGATGATGATAATAATGAAGATCATTTAATGAAGATCATTTCTGTAGCGCCCACTCCCGTGTAAACACAGCTCTAGGCGCTTTACATAAATGCTTGTAAGAAAAATATTCATGCACGTGACACACACACACACTCACACACACACACACTCATATACACACAAACACACACACACATCACACATACACACACACAAACACACGCATACACACTCACGAACACATAACACGCACACATGTGCACACACATGTATGCCAAACACACACACACACACACACACACACACACACATACACTCACACAAACACACACACAGACACACACACCCACACGTACACACACACATCTACTTGCTTATCACACGCACACGATTACACATCGTCACGAAATGAGAATAAAATAATATATACACTGCAATTCACAAAATACATAAATGGATACATAGACATTTACATAACATTGTATTGAATATGAATCTACTGACTTAAAAAGGATGTCATTAAATGTGTCTTTAAAGATTTTTAAAATTTAGACTCAGATGTTGCATGTCTCAAGGGTTGGGGATGAGAGTTCCAAACTGACGGAGCAAGGTGAGCGAACGATCTTTCGGCTAATTTTTTACCGCCTTTTCTAGGAATGATTATGATGATGATGATGATGACGATGACGATGATGATGATGATAATAATGATGATGATAATGATAATGATGATGATAATAATGATGATGATAATGATAATGATGATGATGATGATGTTATCTTCTCAGCTACAGAACAGAAAGGGGATCGAAATGACAATGAGGCTCTTCCAGGTAAGTGACACCCGACGTCAAACAAGGTCTCACACACTCCCAAGTCTATATGGTCGCTTTTAAGGACAAGCGGGCTAACCCAGATTTCTGGGGTTTCCAGAAATCTTGACCTATATCAAAAGATGGCTTTGCCCTACCAATAGGAGAAGTTTGGTTTCATTGGTGTGTATATTTGTTTGGTTAAAGAGATAACTCTCCTTGTCTTTTAAAGAAACTGAACAGGAGTCCAAAAACTTTACCTTTGATTTTGTCAGAACAACATTTTTGGGATGGCCCCCTTTGTGCTTAAAAGCGGCCATGTTATAGTTGGCCAGTCGTGTAGATGTACCAAGCCATAAATTGTTGCGGGGCAGCGAGGTGAAATCAGGCGCTCGTCAAAATACAGAAAAAAAGAGAAACAGGCGTTTTTCTGCAGGTATGGAAAATGTTATTGATTTTTTTATTTTTTTTGGCTCAACCTCTTTTTTGTCCATATAAATACACATTTCCTTGGGAATTTTACTGAAAAACATTGATTAAAGGCACAAACATGTCATTTTTCTTTTTTCAAGGAGTGAACAACCTTTGGTGGCCATTTTCTTGCTAATTTCGCCACTGAAACCAAGCAACCTCACTTCTTTCAATCGCAATTATTTTGAGTTCTATTCACGATAAATGGATATTTTTGTCATTGGAAGCAAGGCAAATAAATCAGCTTTTAGATGATACCAAAAACTCCACATGCCCAAAAAGTGACGATCGCCTGATTCCACCACGTCGTGACACATATTGATTATCTTGTTTAAATTTTAGTGTCTTTGTCTGTGGTATTGTTTACATGTGCTCCAGAGATATTTTGTAGGAATTCAAAATGTAAGTGTTGAGAAAAGCGAGAAAACGTGCATAAAGTATGTGCAATTGTTTAAAAGATGGAGACAGTCCCCCCCCCCCTCAAAAAAAAAGAAAAAAACTGTTTGAAATATATAGGCCTATAGCTATAAATTTCAAATTTTTGTTTTTTGGCTCAACACTATATCTGTTCATTCAAAAGTACTTTTATGTGTGGATCTTATGGGGAAAGATAGATTAAAGACACACACAAATGTAAGTTTGTAGTTTCCAAGGACTCTTAAGCTATGGAAGGCACCAAACATTTCTCACTGATCTTACGTCTGGAACCAGGGGACCCCACCTCCTTAAATTGCAAATATCTCGACTTCTATTCTAGAAAAAAGGATATTTTTTCATCAAAAGGAAGGCAAATGAATATCCTTTAAGATGTTACAAACAACTTCAGTCTGATTCCCTATAAGAACTTCTCTGTTGACATCCACCCCTTGGCGCTTATATGACCTTATACAGTTGTGACTGCCGTAAAACCTCTATTAAAACAATCAAAACATTTACTAAAACACAAAAAACCCTGTTTTTCCTCTGAACAGATCTCCTGTGCAGTAGGGCGGCTAATCCTCCCTTCCGGGGTCACGCAGGTAAACTCAAACTTTGTTTGTTTTGGTTTTTTGTTTTGTTTTTAAATATTAGAACCATTTGCATTATTTGGCGCTGAACTCATGAGCAAAGGTGACCCTTTATCCTTCCATCTTTTAAAAAAATGTAAACCTTCTTTCTGTATAGTCTTGTGTTTTCTTGTTCTTAGTTTTGTCTTATTTTTTACTTTCACCCTTCATTCCATCTAAGCTTTCTTTGTATTTGTTCCTTTTTAATGTTTTTTAAAAATTATTTAAATTCACTCATTTCATATTAAGGGTTTACGTATTTCTTTTCGAAAAGTGCGTTAAAAAAACTCTGAAGCCTTTCTCGTACTCATATTCGAGAAAAAGGATTCTTTCCATTCATTTTTTTTCTAATCAGTATCCAAGAAAAAAACAAAAAAACAAAAGAGGGCAAGCCTCGAAATGTCTCGAGAGTGCATACTATAGTGCGGTCAAAAATTCGTGGTGCAACTTATCCTCAAATATCTCTTTAGTGGGTGAATCAATGTCATCCATACTTTGCAGAACAGGTTGCCCTCAATTTTTCTTAACTAAATCATATTTCTCTAGAACAATTGGGGCTAGATGAAAAAACTTTTCTTCATAAATTTATATAAAATACTTGAAATCTCTGTCACACGTAAAATGGTATTGTTCACAGCACTTCCCGCTTCTCACACACATTTTTATTACGCATATGGCCTACGTCACAGCTCATCAATGACAATTTTTACTTGCCAAACTTATTACAAGAAATTATTGTTATAGTGAACACAGTTTTGCACAAATGGCTCTCAAAACATGCGTTCAATAAGCATAATGTCCCGATTAGAAAAACCTGACGGACTTGCTATTAAAAGCTATATTGCCCCAGCTGTTATCTTTTTAAAGTCTATAGAAACCGCCCACTTGGATTTTGTATTAGTATTTATTAAAGAATTTTCTAGAATACAGCTTGCAGGTGTTAACAAAAAAGTTGATCTGTTTAGACAAACTGATACAAGTCACTGTGCAAAAATTGGAGAACCTATGTTCGATAGTTGAGGAGATATTTGAAAATAAGTCACACCACGAATTTTTTACCCCACTATTATGTCTTTGTGTACCTGTATGTGTGTACCGGCATTTGTTAAATACTCCTAGATTTGATGTTCACACTAAGTCTGTTCATGAGGTTGTCCACGATCACATGACAATTGGAGATGCAGAAATTGTATTTTCAAGAAAAGTTAAGAATTTTGGAATCTGTTTTGATTCCATTTTGTCAGTGTCGGCTGAGGTAATTCATCTGATCAGCTGCATGTATTTAGAAATAAGAAAAATTAGTCAAATACGTCATCTGATCAATACTAAGTATACTGCTTTACTAGTAACTAGCTTGATTTTTATCAAAACTCGATTATTGTAACTCCTTGTTATCAGGAATACCACTGGAGAAAGTTAAAAGACTTCAAACTGTCCAAAACTATGCTGCACGTTTAGTTTTACGGAAAAGAAAGCGAGACTTTGCTAAACCTCTTTTACGAACTTTGCATTGGCTTCCTGTTGAGAAAAGAATTGTGTACAAGTTGGCCACCCTATGTCACAAATGTTTGAATGATAATGCGCCATCATATTCATCAAATATTATAACTGTACATTCCAACTCATCAGCTGACAAAAAGGAATTTATTTTACCATTTATGAAACTTAAAACAATGGGTGAAAGGGCATTTGAATATCAAGGCCCCAAGATCTGGAATGCTTTACCAAGTACTTTAAGAGATCAAATATTTTGATTCCTTCAAATGTCAGCTGAAGTCGTTTCTGTTTTTAAAATAATAAGATGAATATTTGGAGTGATTTTCTTTTAGTCAGAACACAACGTTTTATGTTACTGTTGTAAGTTGTACTGTATTCTTCTTCTTCTTCTTCTTCGTCTTCGTCTTCTTCTTCTTCTTCTTCTTCTTCTTCTTCTTCTTCTTCTTCTTCTTCTTC